AGCGCTGGCTACACAACATGGTGCAAGCTGCCCCCCTGGCCTCCTGCAAGCATGGGGGTGCTGTGTACGGCACGAATTGCACTGAGCTGCGTCTCGCCAGAGCTATGCAGGCACATGTGCAGGTCGCCAAGCTGTCGGGTCGCAGTCTCACGTTGCTTCTTATGATGGCTGAAGCACCCCGATGCGACCCCGCGTGCAAACTAAATATTGAGCCTCTGCAGATGTTGGCGGTGGCCGTCTGGGATGGTTTGCTCCCTGTGCGCATGCTCGAGCAAGGAATAAAAGATGCAGTCCATCGCTTCTCCGACCACGGAACCCCCTGGGCTGGCATCAAGGGTCTTTTTTACGGCCTGCGCGGCCATTGCCATCCGTCTGGGGCTCCAGGTCGATGGTTTTGTTTTCGCTCACTCGGTCTTGGGGCGCATCTCGGTCAGGGACGTCGGCCCCAGAACCTTTGTGATCTGGCTTCAGAGGGTGGTCGATGTTTGGCTTCGGGGTAAGGTCGCCAATCGATTGGATGTGCCTGAGTTGCAAAATGGGTGCGACCTCACTCCACTCAGAAGACTTCGCCCCCTCTTGCCTGTTGAGCGCGGGTATCTCAAGAGTGTGATCTCTGGAGGCCAGCGGCCGCAGCATCGTCAATGGGAGGCTGGTCTTTCGACCAATGCCTTTTGTCTAGGCTGCGGGTCAGCCCCAGGAACCCTGCTGCACAGGCACAGGCATGCAGCGTGTGGCTTGCACGAGGAGATCATGGAAGGAGTTCGCATTCCATCGTTTCTTACCACCCTCGTGCGAGCTGCCACTCAACCTCTTCCCCTCCTCTTTGCTGAGAGGCTGCTGCTGCCGCTCGCTCCCATCCCTGCCACCCGTCCTGTCCCAGATAGGTGGTTCGCAGGAGGGCCCGAGGCTCTATCAGGGCACGTGTTCCTCGACGGGTCGTGGATCGACCAGAAGCTCCCCCCCCCGCCCCGCGCGCAGGCAGTGGGGTGGGCCGCCGTCGCCTTGTGTCCCGACGCATCTCGTGTGCTCTCTGTTGTGTGTGGTACGTTGCATGAGTTATGTCAAGACATCGACTATGCTGAACTTTTTGCGTTCTATCGCGGGCTACAGCACGCGTGCCCAGGATCCATATTGCACACAGACTCCGCCTTCGTGCATGACGGTGTGCACGAGCGTGGAGAGCGAGAGTGTTGTGGCTCCCGCGGTGCATGGTCCGAGCTGTGGCGCGCGGTGTGGGCAAAGATTCACGATTGGGGCGGCCCCTTCTCAGATCCGTCTCGTCAAAGTGAAGGGACGCTGTGCGCGTGCACGTGCGCAGCTTGGTCTCAGCAGTGAGTTTGAAAAGGCAGGCAATGATGAGGCCGACTCGTGGGCCCAGTGGTCTGCTTCTCGCGTGCAGATTGATCAGAGTTTGCGTTGGCAGGCCACTGTCAGAGCCAAGGTGTTGGCGCACTACGCTAAATGGGTGGCCCAAGTAGGGGCGTGTTTTGCCGATTTCGACTGTGAGCATGTTAAGCCTGAACAGAAGCGATCTGGTCAGTCTTCCTGTCAGCCCAAGCTCGTGGTTGAACCGCCCCCGCCTGTCGCCACCCCACGCCCCCTCCTGCGTGCAGATGCTGCGCGCGCGCGTGTAGTTGCAGCAGATGGGCGCAGGCACCTCGTGCATCCCTTTCAGCTTCAGGAGGGCACCTGGTGCGTCGTGTGCGCAGTGTGCGGGCTCGGAGGTCGCAAAGTCTCAGCCAAGCTGTCTGAGCAGAGCAATGGCCCCCCTGCGGCTTCCTCCCACGGCGCGCGCGTGTTGGCTATCCTCGCGCGCGCGCCTGCACGATACAGTCACAATAAGAAGTGGCACCTGCTCCGCCAGCCGTTCAGAACTGGCGATCAGGTCCGTGCGGGCGAGATTGATTCTCTCCGCATTGCCTAACTCGTTTAACTTTGTCTTTTCCGTGTGTTTCACCCGTGGGGTGAACGGGAGCGGGTGGTGGCGCAAGTGGTAGTGGCCCCGCATCAAAGGGGAAGCGCCACCCATCCAGCTCAAAGGTGTGCGGCGAGACCCATCGTCGCGCAGGGCTGGGCCGAGGATATGGAGGAGGAGGAGGAGGAGGAGCAGGAGGAGGAGGATGAGGAGGATGAGGAGGGGGAGGAGGGAGGAGGAGGAGGAGGAGGAGGAGGAGGAGGAGGAGGAGGAGGAAGAGGAGGAGGAGGAGGAGGAGGAGGATAATCAAGGCGCACGGATCCACGACGGGTCCCGTTTCCACGCGGAGTCGGCGCGTTCCGTCGCAAGAAGCGGGCGGCGTCGTCTTCATGCGTCGCCCCGATCGCACCCTCCTGGCACAGGGGGCTCCTCAAACGCATATGTTCAGGAGGGGAAAATGACAGACACAATTAATCGTCGATTCCTCTGAAAATACGGGGAAATATAGGAAGTGGGGGGGAGACGAGAACCCTGAAAATATTCGGAAACCTGGGGGATCCTGTTATTTGTGTCTATTTATTTGTGTGTCCCAGGGCCCCTTCATATGTTCATGTACCTCTTGGTTCCAAAGCTTGTTCGAATAACCCCATGCTATAGAGAATAACCCCCCAGGGATAATAAAATTCGGCGTCACGGATTGATAATAAAAGTTGTCCACCAGAGGCCAGCATAAAGATGTGAACAGAGGAGCCAAAGCCGAGGATATCTTGAGACATCCTTAGCTTTTGGTCTTCTCTGAAACATCCTGAAGGAACGTGCCGGCTGTTAATATTTTTATAATACAGAACTGAAGTTCGGAGGTGCGCGCGCGCCTCTGAGCTTAACTTCTATAGTATTCACCATTACTAAATCTACATTTAATTCCAACAACGAATTTGAACAATTCTAGAGCCTTTAAAAGAGGCTGAAGGAACGTGTCGGCTTTTAATATTTTTATAATACGGAACTGAAGCTCGGAGTTTCTATAGAGATTCCTCATGTGCATCGTTTTCCCAGGATAATCAACCGCAGCGATAAACAAGTTCAAGGGGGCAGGGGGAGGAGAAGAAACGTAGAGAGATACATAGAAATATAGAAAGAGAAGAGGAGGTAGAGGAGGAAGAGGAGGAGGAGGAGGAGGAGGAGGAGGAGGAGAAAGAGCAAGAGGAGGAGAGGAGAAGGAGATAGCAAACATCCAAAGTTTAAAACTTATAATATTTAATTTGTAAACGCTTAATGAAAATTAGAATGTTCATCTGCTCGTGTAGGGTAGCTCACGTGCTTCGTTTTCCCAGGATAACCAACCCCAACGATAAACAAGTTCAGGGCGCCAGAGGGAGGAGGAGGAGAAATAGATAGAGAGACAGAGAGAGACAGAGAGAGACAGATAAAGAAAGAAAAAATACAGAAATAGCTACAAAGAGACAGAAGGACATTGGTTTCGCTTGAGACATCCTGAAAAAAACGTGTTCGCTTCGCTTGATGTTGTTATTTCAACATGAGAAGGAAGTAGCCTCGATGGCGAACTTTCCCAGTGATAATAAAGTTCGGCCTCCGCGCCCCCCGCCTATATTTGAAACCCTACTAGGCCGACGATAATCAACTCTTGCATTTGAAGGGGGGGGTACTTTATTATCTTCGTCATGGGGTTACTCTGCGCACGGTCGTGTGCAAGTTGACGGCCGCCTTTCGCTACTCCGTCTCACGCTGCGGCGCAGCCCTGCTTTGGTGGCATGCAGTCTATGAGGTCGGCCCCCCCGCAACAAAAAAATCAAACGCGTTTCCTCAAGTTGTTTGAAAGGATTGACGTCCTCACTAGAGGAAACAAGCAGTGGCATAAAAATGAAGACTCGGAGGTCCGCGCGCGGATTTCTCGGATCGGCGTCGGACCCCCCTCCCTGGCGCGCTCCGCGCGCCAGGGTCGGCGCCGGAGGCGCCGCCAGGGGGGGGGGGGGCCCGGTGCCGATCCGAGAAATCCGCGCAGACCTCCCAGTTTGTATGTTTATTCGGAGCTTGACAGACCTCCTCCCCTGACACGTCGATCAGCGAATTTGCCGTTTTCGGTTCGCGAGAGGGCGTCGCGGCCGTCATTTTTGCGGGTCCAGGTCCGTCGGTTTCGGTCCCAGGCCGTTTTCAATAAAGGTTGGTTTCGTAAAGGGAGGTTTGCCCACCGCCAGTTTATGCCATTACTCGTTCCTCTGGTGAGGACGTCTGGCAGGGCGTGCCCCCGACGAGAGGGCGGGCTGCGCCCTCGACGGGGTCGCAGGGGCTGCCTCCTCCTCGTCGGCGGAAGGCCGGCGGCAGCACCGCGAGGTTAGACTGGCTTTAGGCACGTGTTCGGGCCTCTGGTTCGGCGGCGAGCGAGGGGGGGAACTTCGAGGTGCGAACTTCGAGGTTCGGGGTTTCCGGGCGTGCTCGTGGCTTCTTGGCGGTCTTCCGCCCTCGGGGTGCGTTCCAGCGGCTGCGCCTCGCCGAGAGCGTTCCAGGGATGCCCGGATCGTCCCGAACGGCCGCCGGAGACTTGAGTTATGACCCGAGAACTGAACTCGGCGGCTGGCCCGGGGGGGGGAGTGAGGAGGAGGAGGCCTTCTGAGAAGGCGGCGGGACTTCTCAGAAGCCCTCGCGCCTTCTAAGAGGTTGTCCGTGCCCTCGGGGAAGGCATAGGGAACTGCTCAGAAGGCCGTGGGACTTCCGAGCCTTCTGAGAAGGCCCGTTCCTTCTCACTTCCCCCCTGGAGGTGTTGCTTGTTTCTGGGTGGGCCCACCGCAAGACCTCCAACGTCACCGCTCTGGGGGGCAGCGTCGGCAATAGGCAGGGAGCTGGCGGAAGTTAAAGTTGCGCCCCCAAGAAACTGACAACTTTTTTGGAGTCGGGATCTCCGGAGCCAGCCACATGGTGCCGATACTCTTGGCATCGCTCGGACGTGTGTATTTTTTCTCGGCGAGAACCATCGAGGACCATCCCGGACCATCGAGCAAAACAAACACGCACGAAACCGAAAAATGCACGGGAAATGGACGTCCGAGCGACGGCAAGTGCTGGTGTCCTTCCCTCGGCTTCGCCTTCTGGGGCCCCTTCGCGGGGCCTTCGCCGCAGCGGCTGGATCCGCCTCTGGGTCCAGGTGAGCGCGCCGCTCGGCTCGTTTCCCCGAGGACGGGCAATACGTACGCCCTGAAGGCGATTGCGCGAAGCCGCATCCAAGAGCACAGCGTCCACCTCTGCGTCGAGCGCGAGGTCGACTGCCATTCGAGGATGGACCACCCGAACATCGTCAAGCTGTTTCAGCACTTCGAGGATTCGGACAGCATATACTTGTTGCTGGAATTTGCCACTGGCGGCCAGCTCTACGCACACATGCGTCAGCGCGGGGTGTTGCCAGACTTGGAAGCAGCCGGGTATTTCTCGGACGTCGTCCATGCTCTGATCTACGTGCACGGGCATGGTATTGCTCACCGTGATACACCACGTCTCGCGTGACCGCGACCGGACGGCTTACTGTGTTGACTTGGGTACCTCTGTCGGCGGTCATGAGGCTTCGAGGGTTGCCAGGGGGCCTGTTCGGGCTCTCTTGGGGCTCTCTTCTTGCTCTTTGGAGGGCGGTCGTGGGCTGTCTTCAGGTTTTCTTGGGAACATTCGGGGCTTCTCTTGGGCCGCTTGGATGCGGTCTGGGTGATCCTGGAAGCCATCTGAAGGCCATGCTGGATCAAAGGGTGTCGATGAGTGGAGACGGGTCCGAGCTGGTCGCCTCTCGGGGGCCTGTCGGAGGAACCTCTGTGCCCTCTTGGGGGAATGTTGGGTACCACTGGGGGAACTCGGGGCCGCCTTAGGCGTTCTCCGTGCCGTAATTATGGGGGGAGATCCGCGTGACGGCCTGGATCGGGGAAGCGTAAGACTCGAGTAAGCCGCAGTTCTGCAGCCTCCCCTAAGCACAGACCCCTACCAAAGCATCAGCCGAACAAATCGGATTTGCACCCTCATGCCTTGCTGGACTCTGGGCGCCTCTCGGCACCCTCTCCCCAAACCTCGTCAGGGCCACCGACAAGGGAGAGGACAAATGAGGTGTGCACCCTCATGCCAGAGGGTGACAAGTGCGGCCTGGATTTTGACGGTCTTGTTTCCGTGGGATGTTTGCAGCGGAAGCTCGCGTCAAATTTCAGACTGGGTCTCGTCATTTTCATGATGGCCCCCGTCAGGCCAACCCAAGTCCCCCGTACCCGAGTCTTACGTCTCCCCGACTGGAGCAGGTGAGGGCCGCTGTGCAGCCGTGCTGGATTGGGGCGTTCTGGAGCTGTCTTAGGACTGCAATGCGTCCCTGGAGGGCCCCCTTCTCATGGCGCCAACATCGCAGAGCGCATTTCGTTCGGAAAACGATAGGATGGGCCCCGATTATCCTGGAGAATTTCCTTCCGGATTTCGAAGTGAATTTCGTGCGGATCTTTCTTGGTCAGGAATGCAGACCCAAAATAATCCACGCGAAATTCACTTCGTTTTTCGCTCGCCGCTTCGGGCAAAAGTCCACGCAGAAATCCACGCAGAAATCCGCTGCAGCACGCCTGCAAAGCTGGCGCAATGACCCTTCACCACCAGGAGACGACGTGTAGAGCTGCACCAGGGCCGTCTTGCGGCACTCCAGAAGCCGACATTTGAGTCGGGCATGTCTCTGTGCAGGGGGAATATTCAAACATTGTCAACAGATAGTCTGGGGACGATTTCTTTTGTTATTATTACTTTTGCCTATATTGATCAGTTCCCCAAAAAATGTTCCTCCGGAACGTCCCCCTGCAGGAGGACATGCTCGACCTAAGCCGACATGGGCGATGACAGGTTCTTCCGTTTGGCTACATGGCGCAGCAGTTCCACAGGCGGTGCCTGCTCTCGCGCCTTGAGGGAGGTGCTGCCCTGGGATGATTGCTGGCCGGGGAGTGTGCCGCTGTCCGGGGGGCCGCGCGAGGCCGCGACGACAACCGCGCACCGCCGCGCGTGGCGCGCGACGAGCGGCGGCCTGGGTGCCTTCGGCCACGCGCAGAGGGGGGCAGGAGGAGGAGGAGGAGGAGGAGGAGGAGGAGGAGGAGGAGGAGGAGGAGGAGGAGGAGGAGGAGGAGGAGGGGGGAAGACTTCTGAGAAATATCCCCGCTACTTAGAGGGCGCGGGCCTTGTTTGCAGACGTAAGGCCGGCGCCTTCCAAGAAGCAGCCGCCTCCTAAGACGCCTTCCCCCCTCCCCCCTGACCCTCTGTGTGCGCGCCGCCATTGCATCACCCAAACGTTCTGATACTATGCGGCGGGGTCCACAAGCCCTGAACCCCAAAAAGATGTCATCCCTTTGGGGCGATAACGCCAGGACGAGAAGCCCAGAGGAGAGCGAAAAACAACAAAACAAAATGGCACCCTCTTCGCCCCTTCCTGCTGGCTGGCACCAGTGCTGGGCCGCCTCAGACCCCCAGCCGACTCCCAGGCTGGTGTTAAATCGGGCACGTCCCTCTACAGGAGGAACATTCAAAAGTATACAAAAATTGTCAGGGGACGTTTGTGTACTATGTTGACCATGTTGGAATATTTGTTGCGCATTTTTTCCCCAACCCTCCTTGCTTGGGTATTCGTTTTGAATAGAGCACTGTGGTTGCGTCCTTCTCCCGCCCCCCCCCTCCTCCTGCCCTCTCTTCGCCGTCACTGGGGCGCTGCGACCTGCGAAACTGTCGCCACTTTTGAGGGCTGCTGGTGCGTCCTGCGGAATGAGGCACCGCGCGGATCTGAGCGGGACCTCGCCGTGCTTGGGGGGGCTGCGATCTGCGAAACTGTCGCCACTTTCGAGGGCTGCTGGTGGGTCCTGCGGAGTGAGGCACCGCGCAGATCTGAGCGGGGCCTCGCCTTCCTTGGGCGGCTGCGATCTGCGAGACCGTCGCAACTTTCGAAGGCTGGTGGCGGGTTCAGCGGAGCGAGGCAACAGGCAGATCTGAGCGAGACATCGCAATCCTTGGGGGGGTGCGAGCCTCACGAATGCCGCTCGCAGACGTATATGCGCCCATGTCACGTCATCACTTCCGTATAACGTGAGGAGAGGGAGGAAGAGGAGGAGGAGGAGGAGGAGGAGGAGGAGGAAGAGGAGAAGAAGGAGAGGAGGAGGAGGAGGAGGAGGAGGAGGAGGAGGAGGGAGGAGGAGGAGGAGGAGGAGGAGGGAGGAGGAGGAGGAGGAGGAGGAGGAGGAGGAGGAGGAGGAGGAGGGAGGAGGAGAGGAGGAGGAGGAGGAGGAGGAGGAGGGAGGAGGAGGAGGGAGGGAGGAGGAGGGGGAGGAGGGAGGAGGGAGGAGGAAAGAAGAGGAGGAAAGAAGAGGAGGAAAGAAGAGGAGGAAAGAGAGGAGGAGAGAGGAGGAAAGAAGAGGATGAAAGAAGAGAGAAAGAAGAGGAGGAAAGAAGAGGAGGAAAGAAGAAGAGGAGGAGGAGGAGGAGAGGAGCAGGAGGAGGAGGAGGAGGAGGAGGAGGAGGAAGGAAGAGGAGGAAAGAAGAGAAGGAGGAGAAAGAGGAGGAGGAAGGAGGAGGAGGAGGAGGAGGAGGAGGAGGAGGAGGAGGAGGAGGAGGAAGGAAGAGGAGGAAAGAAGAGAAGGAGGAGGAGGAGGAGGAGGAGGAGGAGGAGGAGGAGGAGGAGGAGGAGGAGGGAGGAGGAGGAGGAGGAGGAGGAGGAGGAGGAGGAGGAAGGGGAAGGAGCAACTCCTTCGATCCTCGAAGGCGAGTCTCTTCCTGGCATGTCTCACGTGCGCGTCGGCCCCCTGAATCAAGAGGCGACGCGCGCGCACTCGGAGAGCTTATGCAGTGCATGTCCAGTGGCGGGCGCTTTCGGGTACCGCACGGGTGGCGACGTGCTCGAGCATTTTGGTGCTACGTATACAGTGGGGGCGCACATCAAGAAGCCATCTGCTTTTCGTCAGGGTACCCTTGGTTTCCTCACTCTGCGCGCTGCGTGGTGACTTCCCGCGGCCGTCAAAGAGGTTGCTGCGTTCAGGGTGCTCCGGGCTTTCCCCCAGGTGCACTCGTGCGCGGGTTTGCCGGGTTGGGTTTCTTGCGAGGGTTTCTTGCGGCCGCGCCCACTGTACGGGGCGTTCCAAACAGTGCTTTGCCTTCGAGGATCGAAGGAGTTGTCGTCTCTTCCGCGGCAGAAGGCGGCAGAAGGTCGGCGGAAGGTCGGCGGAAGTGAAACGAGGCCGCGTCCGCTGGCGGAGGCGGGCGGAAACTCGGCGGATGGCGGCAGAAGTTTTAAAACATGCGCCCGCAAGAGAGGAACACGTGTTTGGGTTCAGGGTTTCCGAAGTCGCCCATATTGTCGGCTCAGACGTGCAGCCTCCAAGCAGGGCGCATACGGTGGGGGCGTTGGTCACGGAATGTGCCTAGGAGGCTTTAGACCCTGGGGGATTCCTTACCTGATGAGGGCGGCGGTGATATCCATGGCCAAACCCTAATGGTGTTCGCACCGGCTTCCAGACCCTGGATTCCTTATCGAAGGGCTCCTTGTTCAAAGCCCTCACCGTAGTACTATGTAGTACGTCTTTCCGCGTCCCACAGGTTGCTTTCTCGCGTTCCCTCTGCCTAATTCGTCTCTGCGTAGCCCGCTTTGACCTGACTCGCCGCCGGCGCGCTCGCCCGCGGCCGCTGACTAAAAGTCCCACAGGTTGCTTCTGCTCCGCGGGGCTGGCCCTGGCTGCTAGGTCGGGCCGTTCTCGCCCCGTTCGGTTCCGCACGCCGTGGCCCCTCGGAGCCACCAGGGGGGTTCCGCGCGCCGTTGTCTCTCGCTGGGTTTCACACGGCGTGGCCTCTGGACCCCCTCTGGGGTTCCACGCACCGTGGTCGTCTTGAGGGGTCTTTCACACAAAATCACGCAAACGCGCACACACACATGCACGCGCGCGCACGCACAGACACACACACACACACGCACACACACGCACACACACACACACACACACGCACACGCACACACACACACGCACACACACACACACACACACACGCACGCACGCACGCACGCACGCACGCACGCACGCACGCACGCACGCACGCACGCACGCACGCACGCACGTACACACAAACGCACACACGCGCACACGCACACACGCACACGCACGCACACGCACGCACACGCACGCACACGCACGCACGCACACAGACACACACACACACACACGCGCGCGCGCGCGCACGCCCGCGCGCACGCGCGCACGCACGCCCGCGCGCACGCACGCACACTTTTTTCCTTCAGCGGTGAGGTGACCACACCGTCGCGAAGCGCTAAACTGGGACACGCTCAAGCGAGTTTGCACTTGGCAGAGCAGATGGATGGGCTGGATGGTGGCAGCCGCTTGCAGAAGAACGCAGGGACGCACATGCACATGAACGATGCCGTTGCGGCCATGCAAATGCAGGAGTTGGCCGAGCACAACCAGGCGGACTGGAGCACAAAGGCAGATGGAGATGATGTGCGACGAAAGCGTGGCGTTTAGGACGCGCCCACAGCGGCGGACGGTGCAAACAGTGCCGAAGAAGCCCGGCTGCAAGGGCGTACCGGCAAGGATGCGAAAAAGACGAGCCCGGCGGGAGCCGCGGGTAGCAGGCCATGGCCGCAAGCCCATCGTGCCAGCCACGACGCTGCTCAAACTCCTGGAGAGCAGCAGCCGAGCGAACAAGCAGCGAAGCAGGGAAAGAGGTCGTGGGCCAGCGTCGGCGCCGACCGTGCGCGAGACCGACACGGGCGCAATGGCGACGGCGCCCGCGCCCAGAAACCCCAGACCTGTCCACCGCGTGGGGCAAGTCGTGCAGAAAGGGTCCGCTGTGCGGGTGAAGGCTGCACCCCTCCCACGCGCACACACACAGACACACACACACACACTTCCCTACGACGCGCTGGTGCGGTCCAAGCAGCGGATCAAGTTGTAGGGACGTCAGCAACTATAACTTCCCCGCAGCTTTCTTGCGAGGCGCGCGGCAAAACTGATCCCCTGGAAGCACGCAGTGGCGAACCGGGGCAGCAGAACCAGGCGAAGCGGGACAGGGCAGAAGAGAGGTAAAGCGGAGAGGCAGAGGCCAGACAGAATTGACGAGTGGCCGAGGGACCATGGAGAACCGAAGTCGCAGCCGGCAGGCCAAGCCAAGTTATCGAAGATGCGAGGGCAGCGTACCAAGAGGCCGCCAGGCAGCAGAAAGGGCGCGGTAGAGGAGAGGGACCAGAAAAGGGGGAGGAGCAGGAAGAAACCAACACACACACACACACACACATGTGTATGTGTATGTTTACCTCGGCGGCTAGGCAGAGTCACTGCGCTGGCGATGGAGCGTTAACGCACACACTCACACAAAAATACACACGCGCACACACACACACACACACACGTGAGGATACACACCCCACACTTGTTGCACGAATGAGTTGTTTCGAGTCCACCCGCTGACATCACACACGCTTTCCCCCAGTGATTTGCCCAATGTGGTTGGCTTCCGAAGGGCTTGTTTTGTTTAGGAGCCACTCCACAGTTTGTTGGTGGCCCTCTCGTGTTATGCTTGTCGTGGAGCGTGGGATAGGATTTCGGCGCCGTCTTGGGCCCAGCAGAAGAAACAAAAAGGCCGTAAGCATAAACTTTTGGCGCTCCGCGCGGATTTCTTGGATCTGCGCTGGGCCCCCCCCCCCCGGGCGGCGCCTCCGGCGCCGCCCCTGGCTCGCTCCGCGCGCCAGGGAGGGGGGCCCAGAGCGGATCCAAGAAATCCGGGCCGAGCGCCAACAGTTTCTGTTTATATGCCTTTTTGCTTCCCCTAGTCTGAGGTCGGGCACGTCCCTCTACAGGAGGAAAATTCAAGAATAGTCAAAAAATAATTAGGGCACGATTTTTTGTTTATTTTGGCTATTGTTGATTCTTTGCGGACTTTTTTTGAAAATTTTCCTCCAAAATCCGTCTCGGGCCCATCAGGGACTGTTTCGGAGCGGTCTTGGGCCCGTCTCGCTGCACAAGAGCAGCATCGAGGCGCGCTGGCCCTCTTCCCACCGCCTCGGGGCACA